CTTAGAATAAGCAAGTCCTGGGTTACATCCCCAGTTCCGCAAAAAAAACAAAACAAAAACAAATAAAAACAAATAAATAAGCGAAAGAGACTTAAGAGCAAATGCAAGAAGCAGAACTTGTTTGAATCCTGGTTCAACAAACCAACTATAAAAAGTTATTAATGAGACAATCAGGAAATCTGTATACTGACTGGATATTAGATGCTATCAAGGAAAGAGTGTTAATTTTTTTAGGTGTGATAATAAAATTATAATTATGTGCCTCCAGGGAGTTTTCTGTGTACTTGCAGAACAACATGAAGTATATGATCTCATTTTGTCAAAACACCAAAAGCATCCATTTGTATATACACACACTAAAAAGTCTGAAATGATATATGAAACTATGAACAGAAATTACCTATGGGAAAGAATAGAAATAAGACAAGCTATTAAAATACTAGCTGGGTGTGATGGTGCACAACTGTAATCCCCGCATTCTGGGAGACTGAGCCCGGATGACTGCAAATTCAGACTCATCCTGGGCAGCTAAGTGATTTAGGGAGACTTTGTCTCAAAGTAAAAATGTAAAAGGGGCTTGAGATATAGCTATATAGCTCAGTACAAAGGCCCCAGGCTCAATCCCCAGTACCAGCAAAAAAAAAAAAAAAAAATGGAGCTGAGGGTGTAGCTTGTTGGTAGAACATTTGCTTAGCATGTGCAAACGCCCTAGGTTCAAACCTCAGCACCACCCCCCAAAAAATCACCTAACAACATCCTTTTTTTTTTTGGTACCAGGGACTGAACTCAGGACCTTGTGCTTGCAAGGCAGGCGTCGGAAACAACATCCTTTTTGACAACAAATATGCATTGCTTTTATAATGAAAAACTATACCTTCAATAAAGATCTAAAAGAAAGATCAAGAATGAGATCAAGCTTGTATATACAGTAAGCTGAACTCTGGTGCAGAATATCTCTAGACACTGAAATGGATAATTACCAACTTTCTCTTTTTTTTTTTCTTTTGAGTCAGAGTCTCACTATGTAGCCCAGGCTGGCCTCAAACTCACAGTGATCCTCCTGCCTCTGCCTAACTCTCTCTTTGATGTCTCACTGTCCAGGTAGAGAAATACAACCACATTCAACATAAATCTGGAGGATGTGTGGCTCTCTGGCTGCTCACCTTATAGTCTCCATTCTAATCCTTTCTCACTGCAGATTCCAGAGTAGGCTTGGGCCTCTACCTTTTAACAAACTCCAAGTTTATCCACTAAGTTGTTCACAGAGCACTATCTGCTAACTACTGACTTTGTCATTACTATAAATGTAACAGAGGAACTAGACTTGTTTTTCATCAGGACCACTGCTTTGGGGTCACAAGGGAACAGATTTTTGCTTAGTAGAAGAAACAGCTTCCTAACTCTCCAAAGATGGCTGCCCTGTGGGCTGTTACCACCCCACAAAATGAGCGCATACACAGGGTGACAGGGGATTGTGCCAGAGGCTGGGGACTGGGCCAACTGGCCCCTCCAATTTTAAGTTAATATGACTCTATAATAAATGGAGACTGCTTAAAGAAAACCCTCAAACCCAGGGTTTTCATGAATTTTAAATAGTCACCATGATTGGTGATGAATATTGCACGGTTTTAAGAAATTTTCTGATTGAACCGGTCATGGTGGTGCTTGCCTACACTCACAACCACTGTGGGGAGCGTGTGTGTGTGTGTGTGTGTGTGTGTGTGTCGGGGGTGCGGAGATCACAAGTTAGAGCCCTCCCTGGGAACCTAGTAAGACTCTATCTCAGAAGAAAAAATAAGGAGGGCTGGGGATGTAGCTCAGTGGTAGAGCACTTGCCTAGCATGTGCAAAGGCCCTGGGTTTAACCCCTAGCAGTGCAAAACAACAAAATCTGATTATAAAAGAAAATTCATATTAATGGGAGAAAATTTTCAAAATATTGAAAAAATTTCAAAATTATAAGGGAAAAAATGTAAAAATCATATTACCTGAAAGATGTACACTTAAATTTTCTGTTATACCTTTTGGTCTAATAATGTATCATACTACATTTTTTCTCCATTTTATAATTTTGTACCTGCTCCCATGCAATTAAATATCACTGAAACAGAACCCTCCTCCTCCTTATGGATATACTATAATTAAACCATTTTCCTGTAGTTGAATATCTAGGTTTCAAATTCAATATAATCTTTAATTATCAGGAAATCACAAGATATTATATTACAATTCTTAATATATACACAAAATAATATTAACTAGTAATTTTGTATTTAGCAGGTGCTTGATAAGGAAATACTGAGCAAATAAATTAAAATAGATAATAAATTTGAGCAAAGATCAAAAGAAATCTCACTGCTTTTCTGACTTCATCTAATATCCTGTTTCTCTAGCTTCAGGTTATCTAGTCATTAAAGAAGGAATAGAATAATTATGCCTAGTAATAATTAACAAAATTGCCTGTGTCACTTAAGATAATATCGCTACATAATCTTGAGCTTCACTGTAATAGTCATGCGCTCAACAAGTATTTATTTGAACAAGTATTAGATGAATCCAAGTGTGTTTATGATAAGAAAGCATAGTTTGAAAAAAATAAACGTCAGAAATAATAGCACTTTTCAACTGTTTGAAACAGATTTGTAGACAAATTGCAACTGTCTGGTTCTAGGTGGTCTAAGGACCCCAGGTAGTTCTTGGGAACAAACACAATTAAATAAGTCATGGCACTTAAGCCTAGAAATTAGAGATGGAATAAAAAGTTTCCACATCAAGGTGAAATGGCTGTAATTAATTAAATTAAATTAATTAAAGACAAGTAATTTTAGCTGGCACGAATAATGTTGAAAATAACCAGAGTTTTCTTGTTCTTTACCTGATTAAAATGGGCAGAAGATGGAGTTTTCTACTTATTTCCAGGTGAACTCTTCACATTTCCTGGCTTATAAAACAAAAGCAAGAGCTTTAATGCAGTTTGAAAAGAAATAGTGAAGCACCTCAAAAGTGGCTTCAGTATTTGGCTGAATGCAAACAATAAATATTACTATTTTAGGGAAGGGAGGTCTGTGCCGTTTTAGTGAACGGCTGAGGAGAGGAGTAGAGGAGGACAATGAGATCCCAAATTCTTTGCTGGGCTTGCAGTTGCAGTAAAGTGTATTAACTATTATGGTAATGCAAAGTGACCCATTTCTGAGTAAGCTGAAAGAGAAACTAGAGCACCCCAGGGCCCTGCTCTAGGGAGTGACTTGGGCCTGAGAACAGGAAATAAAGCTCCATCAATCCAAACGGTCGACTCTATTAAAAATCCAACCAACTGTGAAAACATTTGTTTCTGAAAGAGATTCACTACTGCATGCCGCTGTCATGGCTGAAGGGGGCTTTATATCTGTGGGAAGTTTCTTCTTGTAGGTACTCGCTCCATGCAGCACCCACCAGAGGGCCAATTCCCCAAACCTGCTTACTCTGACAGAGGTTTAAATTGGACCGCACCCACGCTGCACCTGGCCAGCATCCGGGAACATATAATTAGCTCATGCCTCCCTGAGAAGCGCTGTAGGAAGTTTCTGGTGGGAAAAGTTCATGTGCTACATGTTTAAGGCCTTGCTTTCTTTCCTGTAAGTTTTAAAGGCTTTAATTCTGAAATCACGTTAATAAGGCCTGCTTGACATCAAAGATCCAAGCTCTCATGAGCTGGCGGGCTGCAAAACGAAAGGCTGCAGCTGGGCAGAGGATGGTGCACTGCTTCTCCTGGGGGCCCTCTCAGAGGTGCTCATTGGAGAGGGAGACTGTCATAAAGAATCCACTGTCATAACAGGCTTTGAAAGAAAAGTTTCTTCCAGTGAATGGGGACTAAAATCAGGAGATTCTAGCAGCCAGCTGGGACAAACCAAGTTTATCACATCCGTGTGTGGATGGGCTCACATTGCGAGAGAGAGAGCTGGGAGAGATTTCATCTGTGAGTGGATGGGCTAACACTAGGAGAGAGATATTAACAATTAACTGGGAAAGGAATTAGGCTTATATAGGTATCCAAGGGGCCAAGGAACCTGGGGTGAAATATTTATGACTTAGCTGCCCAAGTACGGTCTGCTCAGGTGTGTAGACAACCACTGGACTTCTCGGCACTAGGGGGGTTGTATACATTTTGAGTCCATTTGCCCTATTTACTGAGAAGCTGCTGTTGTTTGCTGAAAGCAGCATGTTTGCTTTGTCCTGTTGGTTTAGGCCAGGCCTGACAGAGATGAGAGGTAACAAAGAAGAACATGTGACTGACCCTGTCATTTCAAAGCCTGCTTTCTAGACAACTTTGAGGCTTATTGGAGTGGTTGAAAACTGGTCTCTAGGAACTGTTTTCTACCCATGTCCCAGCATAATTAATAGTGTCCCCCCTCACAAGGATGACGAATTATTTTGTTTTGGTTTTGGCTTTTTGAGTCAGGGTCTCACTATGTGGTTCAGGCTGGTCTTGAACTCACTATGTAGCCCAGGCTGGCCTCAAACTCACAGTGATCCTCTTGCCTCAGCCTCCTGAGGATTACAGGCACTCACCACCACACCCAGCTGAATGATGAACTGTGGTCACTATATTTACATAATGCATCCACTTGTGGAGTTCTGGGGACCGAGGCCAGATGCATCACTTGGTGGATCAACATCCAAGGCTCAGGCCCAAGAGCTCTATAGGTCCCAGTATCTGGGCCCTCAGCCTCTGCCTCCAGAGTCTCTTCCCACCCCTTCCCCCATGCGTGTGCACATGTAAAAACAGACACACACACACACCACACCTCACACACCCTGCCCCACTGCCCCAGATATGGGGAATCATGGTTATTTTACCATCATTTCTCTAGAGGTCACACTGCAGCTGAATGGTGAGTCTGTAGTAGAACATTAACTTCCCACCGTGTAAGCAACGCACAAGAACCACGCATACATCACTAACTGCTTGTCATGTCTTAAAGCACACCACTTCTCCTATTACAATAGAACATCAAAAGTTCCTTTTTAGTACAAACATACATATTTTATTCTGATCCTCTTGATGACTAATATTAGTCAATCTTCACACATTTTTCAATAAATTTTACTCAGGACTGTTTCTAGCAACCCCAGGAGCACTGGAGCCTCTAGAACAAAACGTTACATCAGTCTTTATGTACCCCAGGCTGGCCTCGGTTCTCCTGCCTCACATCAGTCTTTAAACCAAACCTGGTCAGAACTGAGATGGACAACAGAATCGCCATGACCTGATGAAAGCACTCGTGGGATGATGTTTCCAGACTCTCTGCTCACACTAAAATCAAATACAGTATAAAAATCTCAGCCTTTCACCCTAAGGAGGCAGGAGAGTAGAGTCATTACTCTGCTGGGCAAGTGGGCTGACTTGTCAGTCATGGAGATGTAGGCCACATGCACCCAGGCCCTGCACCTGGAACCAATCAGAGAACAGTATCTTCAATTCTTCTGGCAAAGATCAAGCAGGTTTTTGACAGGACAGCCTACCTGATCTGATCTGACGTCAGAATGGGGAAATATAAAAGATGGTGGCCATTAACCTCATAAACTCTTTCTGTGAGTGTATGTCTTTTCCTACTTCCAATTGCCTTGCACTCACTTTTCAGAGCATATTTCTTTTCCTACCTTTAAGAAATGTAAAACCTGGCCATCTTTTCTGCATGTCTTGACCAATTCTTAGTTCAGGACAACAAGAATCTACAAAGGATCTCTAAGAGGACCCCCCCCAGCATCCCAGAACCCCGTTGACACTGACAGCAAGGTTTTCTCTTGGACTTCTCTGATGCTCTCTTGCAGTATATCAATAAATTCAACTTTTTTTTCTTGGTACCAGGGATCGAACTCAGGACCTTGCGCTTGCGAGGCAGGCGCCGGAATCACTGAGCTAAATCCCCGGTCCCTAAATGTAACTTTTCTATATTCCTGACTATTGGTAAATTGTTTCTGCCACCCGCAGGCACCTGCTTCACACATGTGAGTCTCCCATGGTGCCAGAGGCCTTTTTGCTGTTGCTCACACTTACCAAGCCCCTTCCTGGGACATGACTTTTGCAAAATATACCCCTTCTGCTAGAGTGGGCCATCCTAACTTTGGCTAAATATGATGCAACCTTTAGGTCAAGGCTTTCCTTTCCTCAGTTTAGGTTAAAACCTTGAATTCACTTTCATAGCACATATGACCTCCTTGATCTGTATAATTTTTTAAATATTTCATTAATCTATAAACTCCTAGCATATACTATTCAAATATTTGTTGAATATGATTGGGGGTGGTGGCATGCACCTGTAATCCCAGCACCTGGGAGGCTAAAACAGGAGGGTCACCAGGATCTCAAGGCCACCCTGAGCTACATAAGGAGAACTGTATCAAAATAAACAATATATGCTGGGCCTGGTGCCACAAGCCTGTAATCCCAGCACTTGGGAGGCTGAGGTAGGAGGATCTCTCCACGTCTGAGGCCAGCCTGGGCTACATAGTGAGACCCTGTCTCAAACAAAACAAAAACAAAAAACAAAACAAAACTACATATATTTTTTCAATATATATACATTGAATAAACAAATAGAATGGGGTAAAACCTAGAGATGATGCATATAAAAAATGTGTGAGTGTGTGATTCATGAATAAGAATTTTTTTTTAAAAGGCTTATGAAGGTAAGATAACCATGGCTAACAACTGGGTCTGCCATGGCAACAATGTGGTTCTCCCCCTAGTTAAACACATTTTAGGTCTCAATTAACATAGTCCTTGCCGAGTACATCTGATGATACTCTACTGTCTATACTCATCAATATCTCAACCTCAAAAAATAAGGTGCTACTTTTTTTTTTTTTTGGTACCGGGGATCAAAGCAGGTCCTTGTGCTTGTGCAGCAGGGGAGGAAACCACTGAGCTAAATCCCTGGCCCCAAGTGCTACATTTATAAGGCCTTTTCTCTTTCAGACAAGAAAATAAGCACCCAAAAAATTCTTCTGAATGAGGAAAACAGCTTTGTTGCTAGGGAAATGTTTGTTTGGTTACATGTCACTTATAGTGTAACAAAACAGGTCAGAGAGAGAAGGAAGGGGGAGGCAAGGGAGGAGAGATGAAAAAAGGAATCAAGGTGTGTTGTGTACATGTACCAACTCCCCACAAGGAATGTAATCATTATGTACTGCAAACATGGACTAATAAAAGTAAAAATGTTTAAAAAGGTACAAAAATGGAGTCAAATATCTCACTAGGAAAGTATTGCTCCCACCGACCCACCCTGTTACAAATCATACCTTTTGTAACCAACAAGGCAAAGTAGAACTTGGATAATTAAATCTTTTCCTTTAGAGACAAGTGGCTTCTCCAAACATGAGGCTGAAAACATAAACAGCCACCTCACCTCTCCTCAGACCAGAAGAATGGACAGAATAAGCAGATTCTGGCCCTAGGAGGTGCAAGGCCAGTTTCACTTCCAGAAGGAAAGGAGGAGAAGCAGAGTCCAGGACAGGACAAGACAGCCCCATGGTGTCTCACTGCTCCTGCCACTGTTGCGCTAAAAGACCCAACACGCTGTGCACATGCTGGAGATCAGAGAGGTGAGGCCCCCTCTCCCTGCTAGCTTTGAACAAATCTTTTTCCTTTTCACCAAAAGAAGTGGCCTCCTTGGATCTTGTCGGCAGCAAGCACAAGGACCCGAGCGGTCAATGATGCTCCTGGCAGAAACTGCCATAACCTCTGAGAAAACAGCATGCTTACTGTAACAGGCAGCTCATGAGAGCACCAGCCAGAAATCAATTCCTTTCTGTGTTTGCAGACAGAAATAGTTTTACTTCAAACATTTTTCAACTCAGTCATTTCCGTGTAACCTAATTTTAATACATATCTGGTTTTGTTTTTTAAATTTATTTTCTTACCACATCTATGAACATGATTAGTAATTTCTTCTGGCAAAACTGAAACCTTTCGTGTTTTTGTGGCACTAGGGACTGAACCCAGGCAGTGATGCACGCTAGGCAGATGCTCTGCCACAGAACTACACCCCCAGCCCTTTTTCTAAAATTTGATTTTGAAACAAGATCTCACTAAGTTGCCCCGGTTGCCCTCAAACTCATGATCCTCCTCCCTCAGCCTCCCAGGTAGCTGGGATTCCCGGAGGGCATCAATACATTGGGCTTTTCTGAGACCTTTTTTTTAAAAAACTGGAGACAATGATTTCTAGTTAGTATGTGTTGCTGCATGATGGGGGAATGAATACCAGACAAACCTCTGAAGTACAGCATCCTACTGAAAAGTCCAAGTCCTGCTCCTTCCAGCTGAATTATTTTCATGAAGCGCTGGGCTCCCACAGTATGCACTTCCCTCACATGTAAAATGCGGATAATAACAGAGTCTGCCCCACAGATTTCCTGAGCAAACAGCTCAGGATCAAGCTCAAGGTCACTTAATTTTTTGGATGAAAAAAAAGTAAGGATAAGGGCCAGGGATTTAGCTCAGTGGCACCACGCCTGCCTCACAAGCACAAGGTCCTGAGTTCTATCCCCAGTACCAAATAAAAAGAAAGAAAGAAAGAAAAAAGGTAAGGATAAATGAAGGGAAGGACCTGTTAAAAATCCCAACAATGGGCCGGGGATTTAGCTCAGTGGTTTCACCACCTGCTGCGCAAGCTCAAGGACCCGAGTTCGATCCCTGGTACCAAAAAAAAAAAATCCCAACAAAATTCCACTTCACTAGAATATGGTGGGAAGAAGAGTGGGCCCTAAAAGATTCATGTCCTAATTCCAGAATTGGAGACTGCTACTCCATATAGCAAAGGGAAATAAAAGCTGCATTAAGTTAAGGTTGCTAGTCAATTGCTCTTAAAATGGGGAGATCGGGCTGAGGATTTAGCTCAGTGGCTCCGGTACTTGCCTTGCAAGTGCAAGGACCTGAGTTCGATCCCTGGTACCAAAAAAAAAAAAAAAATGGGGAGATTGCTCTGGATTATTTGACTGGGCCCAATCAAATTTTAAGTTACTAGGGTCCACTCTGGGAGGCTGAGGCAGGGGGATTACAAGTTCAAACCCAGCCTGGGCAACTTAGTGAGGCCCTGTCTCAAAATCACCCTGATGAGTGATTTAGCTCAGTGGTGCTGCTGCCTGCCTCGAAAGCACAAGGTCCTGAGTTGGATCCCCAGTACCAAAACAAAACAAAACACGGTATCAATGAAAACTTACCCTGCTGACACCTGCATTTAGTAGGGGGCTGGGGACCCACAAAGCTAAGACACACATTCCCATCTGAAAACGTAAGAACATTCGTCTCAGCAGCAACAGGAAACTAAAGCAATGACATAAAGGCCTTGATTATGGAGCCAGAGCCCGGGTTCCCTTTTCTAGCAGTATTCTTCTCTGGAGGGGGCAGAAGTGTGCGATGTCACATGAGCGGTGGCTGATGGCTGTCATGTGCTAGAGTCTATCCACTCTGTGTACGTGTTCCTCATGTGGACAGGCTCCTCTTGTTCTCAACTCAACTCAACTTCTGCTCCCCGTATACCCTTTCGGCCACCACGCCACATTGAATTCTGCTTTTCTTTTTTTTGAGACAGGCTGTCCTTGAACTCACTATGTAGCCCAGGCTGGCCCTGAACTCACAGTGACCCTCCTGCCTCAGCATTCCTGAGTGCTGGGATTACAGGTGTGCACCACCATGCCCGACCTGCTAGCTAAGCTTTTCTGATACCAAATGTGTACAGTTTTCTCAAAAGGAGATGATTTTTTCCCTAGGATTTCTTTTTATTTTGCTAAGTAATATTTTTAAAAATAGAAAAATCATCATACCTTTATTTCTTAGAATTTTAGGCAGTAGAAAAGGCACAAGTTCAGAACAACTTTGCTTTATGGAAAATCTACCCTATGATCCTTTATTTTCTTTTAAAATTCTTAGGATGGGCATGGTGGCTCACCCTGTATTTGGGAGGCTGAGGCAGGATGACTGCTGTGAGTTCAAGGCCAGGATGAACTACATAGTGAGACCATGTCTCAAAAAAAGTCAAAACAAATGCCAGGCGTGGTGGTGCACTCCTGTAATTCCAGCACTTAGGAGACTGAGGCAGGAGGATCACCATGAGTTTGTGGCCAGCCTGGGCTACATAGTGAGTTCAAGGTCAGCCTGGAATACAGTGAGACCCTGTCTCAAAAAAACAAAAAACCATACCAAACCGAAATAAAATAAAAATTCTAAGTGGTAAGAACACTTAGCATGAGATCTACCCTCTTAGTGGGTCTTTTCTGCGCTGGATGGAACCCAGGGCCTCATGCATGCTAGACAAGCACTCTACCTCTGAGCTTGCTGCCCATCCTGAACAGATTTCTAAGGCATGATTCAGCATGGCACAATGTTGTGCAGCAGACCTCTCGTGTTCACCCATCCTGCCGGGCAAGCACCATTCTACCCCTGCCCGT